AAAGAGTGAAAGTTGATGTTTTGAGTGTGTTTGGTGTAATAAATTTGAGTTAGTGTAAGGAGAATGTGGTAGGACTCACATTTTTTTATGCCCCTAATGAGAGAATCAGAGGGGATGTTAATTTTATACTTTTTTACCCTCCTACTCAAGTCAGCTTCATAATATACATATATATATAGAGAGAGAGGGGTAATTGTGTAATTTGATTGATAATTTCAATTTTTATTTTTTTATTTAATCTAATATAAATCAATCAAAAAAATTGTCTTTCCTTCACTTTTCTTTTATTTCTCTCCTACCAAATAATCTCAATTTCCACTTTATTTTGTAGTTACCTCAATTTTTTTCTCTTTATTTCTCTCCTCTTCACCAAACAAAGCCAGCATAAATGAACTAAAATCTCAAACCAGTTAAAAAGGGAAAATCGTGCTAACCTTGCTTAAGCATGGTAATTCACTAACGTGTCTTGCCAAAATCATGCAAATGTTAATGAAATCTCAAATTCATGCTATAAACAGTTAACCAGATCTCAAATGGTAACCATACAACCTACAGATAACATATATGGAGGAAGATGACAAACACTTGATCATGAAGCAAGGAATTGAAAACTGAAGTTTAGCATTGCTTGATAACACACACACACAACACAAGGAAAATTTACGCAAGGATTTCTATTCATTCAAAACTTTGATATGATAACATAAAAAGGAGAGTTTGTCATAAACAATGGACCTATTATAACTATATCAGTATTCAAAGCCCTCAAAAATGGTTGCCTAACATTTCCAAACTCAATATTCTTGTTCCCGGGGCTCCAGCTAAGTGGAGCAAAGAATGTAGCACTGAACTAACATAATATGATATTCATCCGGCATCATTTGACAGCCAGGAATCCCTTCCCTCTTTCTAACCCATAAAATTTAAGGGTGTGTGTTGTACCCTTTATCCACATTAAGAAAAACCTTAATTGAAAAATGCGTAACAAAATTTTCTAATCAATCACATTTTGTACAAATGTACACAAGGGTAACAGATCTTCTTCAACCTGCCAACTTTAGGTTTCTAAGTGCTAGTCTTGGTAGATATCTTTTAGCCTCTTCCTTTCACAATGCCATCTCAGTAGAGAAGAAAAACCAAAAAAATAAATTATATACAGGATCAAGTTAATCTCTAGCACCACCAAGACCGGCACGACTTATCGCTTTTGTTGCAGTCCAAACCAGACGTACAAGCTCATCTACATCCTGGAAGCCGAAATCAATAACGCTCCTAATGGAAGTTATCCAGTCCTTATTCCGTGCTTCTTCCATGGCCAAATTAGCAGCCGCAAAAGTGCTCTGACATTTTCTAGAAGCCTCCATTGCAAAATTTATGTCCTGAGTCTGTAAATCACAAACTTTTACCCAACTTTCCATAACAAAATTATGTGCATAATAAATCCTTAAGATTTGGTATTCTGTGCCTAGCCTAAAACAAAATAACTATATAAGCTAACTGCTGATTATTAGGGTGCAGGCAAAAAATACTATAACCTTGAAATTTTACCACCACCTGTCCACCAAATCTAGAACATGCATTGCATTAAAAAGTTCAAATTGACTCAGTGATAATTGCCCATATGACAACAAAGCATGCTAGTTACATAACAGAATCACTTCAGTATGCAATAGAAAAGCGTACACATATAAAAATCTGGACTTCTCTTGCCCGAGAAATATGCAACTTCTCATCCTGCTTATCTTTCAAACAACCAAATTTCCAACTATTATTTCCTACCAATAAACCCTTAGATCCCCAACAACAATCTCTTGGCTTCAAGATTAACATACTGAGATAAACTTCCAAATAAAATACAAGGTTTACCAGCAATTATAACTTACAAAATCAAGAAGCCTGACTAAAGTCGGACAAGTTCGAGCAGGTATGACTTGGTTGATAGCCACATGAGTATTAGTACCCCTAAGCAAAGTAGCCTTATCTGCTGCTGCCTGATTGTTAAGGTTATCAACATCGGATGCAGAAGATGATGGAGATTCACCTAAACAATAGAGTAAAAAAAACAGTGGTACATCATTGACATGGAACACTTAATAAGGAATGCGTGCATTCATCAGACAACTAATATTGAAGACAAGGCTATCAAACTATCTGGACTGGATCCTGTCCACTACATCATAAACAAACCATAGTCAGATCAGATGAAAGATTGTTTATGGTTTTATATCTAAGAGGCCCCTTTGCATAAGAGCACTTTGGTGGTGGGCTTGAAGCATATATAGACCCATTTTAATTTTGGCAGGAATTGATATTTTATTAGGAGAATGGGGAGCCACAAGAATCAAACTCTTGACTACTTAGTCAAACAGTATCTAATACCACGCCATGATCCAACTATCCCAATTAGGTAAGACTCATAAATGGTTTTATATCTAACACACTCCATTAGCTCATTGCATTAAAATCCCCAAACAATGAAAAAAGAAGGTATCATGTGCTACCATTTCATTATAAACAGGAAAATAACATCAGTTTTAAATTTTTTGCTTTGGATAAAATCATTTAGTCTTTTAGAATATACAAGGACTAATTCATTACTATTTAGCTTCCCCCTTTTCATCATGTGTAGAGGTATCACTCACTAATTTTGTTTATTCATTGGTGTAAGAAGTCTGCAAGTATAAAGAAGATTGCTAAATTGACATACAGCAATACCTGACAAGCCGGAAGACATAAACACTTGTATGAAAACTATGTTCCAATACCTTGAGAAACCATTTGAAGAGCTGATTGCAACTCATGCCGATCTCTATTAGTACTAGAATTTTTACAGTAAACCAGTCTCATGTATGCCACCTCCATGCATTTATATGCCAAAGCAGCAGCTGCCATTTCTTGGCGTGTTTCATATTCACTGGCACAGCATCTGAAAACATTTCAAGGTATTGTATAATTAATGGCCAGCTAACATGCACGGCACAAGAGAAAGACAATAATGCAACAAACTTCTAAATTCATTTAGTGGAACAACTTTTATAAAAATGCCATTGTTTGACTTTATTAAAAGCATTACAAATTACACATAAAATGTCACTACAAGACCTATATTTCCAAATTAAAGAGAATCGTCATTATTAGAAAATGTCTATATTGGGCAGACTTATGAGCTAATGAGTCAAACATCTGAAAGCCCAAGCTAGGCCTATTTATGAACCAGCCAACATTTTCAGCTCATTAAGCTGTTAATGAACCAAGATGTGAGCAACCCCACGAGCTGACACTCACTTCAGCCTTATTAATAACAACTAAATTGCATGTTCTCAAACCTTTTTTGCACTCAACTGAATAAAGGTAAGAACCTAATATCTTTAAAAAAATATTAAATTTACTTAGAGCTTCAGAATTTTTATACTCACTTGAAAAGTTTGGCTGCAGTAGCCAAAATTTGCATTTGACTCATTTCCCCATGCTTGCTACTCTCATTGTGACAATTTTCTAAAAGTGATGCTCCATGCAGAAACTTCAAACCAGCTTCAAAGTAAGTCTCATTGCTTTCAAAGTCAAACCCGGAGTTCTATAAAATAAACAGTATTTACAACATCAATTAGAGAAAGATACTGGATCCAAACAAATACATCAAGAAAAATCTTGAAATGAACAACTAACCTTATAATTATCTGCTCTATCTTTTAGTTTTGTGGCTTCTTCCAGGGTGTCAACAGCAGTTTGGTTAGAGTTTGTTCTCAGAGGACTTGACACAGTGACTTGCTGATCAAGCACAAAGTTTCCAGAAACATGGACAGGATGCTCATTAGACATGCCTCCCTTTTGATACCGAGGTCCAGTTCTAGAACCGACATTCAATGTTTCCCTTTTTACTTCAGATACAGCAGATGATAGAACTTTAGATTTCCCAATGCTTGTTTCAATGCTTACATGATTAGCATTGTTTTCTTCCTCAAAGTCCCAAGTCAGGTTTTGATGGGAGATAGTCTTTCTATCAGAAATGCATTGAGCATCCATCTTCGGAACTGAATTCTCAAAGTCTCTTTGGTTTAGCTCAGTTGGCTTTCTTGTTTCATGTAGACCATGTCTTAAAGCACTTTTCTGACTAATACCGTCAATTTCACTTTTAGACTTGGGAGAAGTATATTTAGCATCACTCTTTGTCTTAGCACCAGATGCATGATTACTAGGATCAACTGCTGAATCATACCTCCCACTAATTTTTGAATAACCAGTCTCTGAAACTGAAATCTTCATCTTACCTTTACCAACATGAGAGCCAGATTCTCTGCCATTCTCTTTGCTGTGTAAGGATGTAACCTTACCAGATTTCTGCCAAGAAAGTTCACTTTCCTGGTTGTCCTTGTTTACTTTCTCATCATGACATATACCATTAGCAATATAGCCAGGTTGTTCAACATGGACACTGCCTTCAAACAAATGATTATTCTTTAGTTCAGAAGATTTTTTAGCTTGGGCCCTGGCTCTGTCTTTAGCATCCTCAACCTGGTACTCGGTTGAAGATGATTTGTGGGATGCAAGATGTAAGTTGTGTGAAATTCTACCCTCCAATTTTACCAATAGCTTTCCCTCCTTGTTATCCACACTTCTCCTGGAACCTACAGAAGGGAGACAGCCTTTAGTAGAAACACCTTTCACTGAGGTGTCTCCTACTGCCAAAATATTCTTATCCAAGTTGGAGGCCCTCAAAGGTGACGAGGTAACAGATTCAACAGGTGAACCAATCACATCTTCAAAGTTGGTTTTAGCTTTATGAGACCCTGATATTTTAGAAGAGCTAGATGTTGCTGCCAATGAAAGTGGTCCAGAGCCCAAATCAATACCATCTGAAGCATGAAGTGATGTGATACTTTTCCTGTGCTTCCTTGGTTGGTTGCATTTATCAGCAAATCTTACCTCTGTTGCACTAGCCATTTGGCCCCTATTGCCTAACAAGCAATCTTGCCTCATCCCACCTTTACTTAATTTATCATCACCTTCAGTTACTGATTTTGCCTCTTTATTCAAAATTCTGTGCTTCTTTTCCTTCCTAAATTCACTTACATTGCCCTCTTCACCATACTGCTTTTCATCATTTGGTCGATCCTTCAATTTCCTTTTCTTCATTAAACGATCACTTCTAATGCTGCTTTTCACATCCAAGGACCCACCACCAGACGAGACCTGAGCTTGATCTCCCTCTTTCTTTGCAGTGACTGGTAACCTGACCTGTACATCCTCAGATAAACAAGACTCATCATACTTCCTCATATCCTTCCCACTAGCTTTTTTTGGAAAACCATTTTTTGAATATAGAGCCACCTTCTCAAGGCCCATGCCAGGGTTCAATTGTTTGTCAGCATGGCAAACATTTTCAGTTCTTGATTTCTTAGGAGTTCCAGATTTATATTGATCAGGATCCATCTTACGTTTCAATTTAAAATGCTTTCTGTCACCTGCCCATATGTGAAAATAACATTGACATTTTTAGTTAATAATATCTATAATAACTTATTCACAAAAAAAACATGCTTATTGACAAAAATAAATCTGCAATAACATATCAACTCTAATATGAATGAGGTACCTCCATTAACTTGCTTTTCTTTATCTTTAGGCACATGTTTCTCTTCTATCATGTTTTCAAGCCTGCTAAGATGTTTAGAAGAACTCATCTTCTTCATCGGGTTTAAGTCAGCAGCCGCATGCTGATTCATGCCATTCAAGCTTCTGTTTTTTCCAGATATTTGACTATTGATCTTTGCAGAATTTGGGAACTGAAGCCCATCATTATTAATTCCTGACATTGTCTTTTCCTTAGTAACATGTTTCTTCTTTCTTCGATCAGACAACATATCAGAGCTAGACATTTTGTGATTCAGGCCATATTGCAAAGAATCAGAAGAGCCCACTCCAAGTGCAGTTTCAATACCATGGCTTTGCATGTTATTTTGACCCTCAGAAATTGGCATTTGATACATGGCATAAAGTGCTTTTGTTGTCTCATCCTCGCTGACGTTGCAAGAATTCATCTTAGGCCTAGCAACAAATTCAGAGAATAATGAGAACACAATAATATGAAGAGCACAAACAAATGCACATGTGGAGAAATTAAAAAAAGTAAAATAATTTGTATATCATTCAAGATAGTCCTTAATTATCTATACTAATATATAAAGGGAATACCATTTTCAATAATTACTTTTGGTTTTGCATTTTTACATGGACCATTTTATCCTTTATTTATTTTTCAATAACTACCTTTTTTTTATGAGTAACTTCTCATTCTTTTCTTTCTTTCTTTATTTTTTTTCTTTTAATATAATACAGGCACAAAGTGCCTTTTTCTTGCTAGTTGCTTATAATAGTACATCATACTAAGCATAAACCCAGCATAATATGGTCATGCATAATTCCACAAAAATGAGCAATCAACTTACAGCCAATTTAGCATGCTACACAACCATTTATCTGGAAGATGATCTGGCTTCATACCATAAGGTAGTAGCCGCCATTGCTGGCAACTGTCACAACATACCCAATCTTCTAAAATAACCTGAGGTGGTGCTACTGCTGATGAAATCATCTCCGGAGCAAGGTTAGGAAGTGAAGCTGAAGTATCTTTTATGCATGGCACAGCTGCCAACTGGTCAACAACTTTATGGCCACTCGGTCTTTCCTTTGCTTTAGCCCCAAATGCACTCTGTTTCCCATTATTAATGCTAGAGTATTTTACAGCACCATTGCCAGCTAGACTGTCAACTTTCCGTTCAGATTTTTTTTCTTTCAATGAATCCCTGTTATTTGACTTATTCATTTTACTTCTACAACTATTGTCAGAGCCAGCACTCCCTTTATCAAATATCATTGCTTTATTAGCACCACCAAAGCTGTCTTTTCTTTCAACAGCCTCAGCTTTTCCATGACTCTGGTCAACTTTCGACTTATTCCTCCACTCAAATACAGCCTTTACCTTCTGAGGGATCTCATACTTATGATCCACCTTATGTTTTACTACATCATGTTCAATCTTATTGGAAATCATTAAAGTATTACACATGTTAATATTCTTAGGGTTCATAGAATTATCCTTGCACGAATTTTCAAGTTTATGGTCTAAAGCATTTTTCATAAAACCATTTCCTGCATTTTGCTTTGCAGTCTTCCCAATATCCTGACCAGATATTGACTCCAATGACTCCTCCTTCAATGCTTCTATGGTAACCATTCTGCTTCGTGCCCCATTCTCATTAATCTCCTTGGAGGCTTTAGAAGATTTAGCAGTGACTTCAGCAATTTCTCCAGCATCACAAATTGAACTTGACAGAGGTGTCCATTTCAACTCATTAGAGAGGAAATCTTTACAATCTGGTGTTCTATTCCCTAATTTTTTCTTTTTGTGCAACGTCATATCCTTCTCAGAAATGATTCCATTCACATGCGTCAATTCCAACTGCTTTTCACTCTGCCTCACTATTCTCACCGTCTGTTTCTTCAAATGCCCATCCCCCACAAAAGAATTTGATTCATCAGCAGACATGGAACAGGGATCTTGATGACCATTAAGAGAGGACAAATCTCTGCTGTCTCCAGTAACTTTTTCATTCTTTGTCAAGTTGAGGAAACTTTCATGTAGTGGTGATATTAGAACACCCCCCGGGATAGGAAAGGAAGTCATGACCTATGTCATCAAACAAGAAATAAATATTTCAATCTTTCTAATGGAAATAAACAGTATAGAAATAGAAAATGTCCTCCTCTACCTGAATAATTTGAGTTGGAGAATCTTCAGCATTCTCTTGAGATACCGGTGGCATGCCTTCACTTTCCACAGGGCTGCTCCCCATTGAGGAAGAGGGAGAGTTATCAAGCCCAAGGCCACTATAAATTTCTGCATTCTTTTGTGCTAAAATACTGGATTTCATTTTGAATCGAAACTTCAGTGTCCTTTGGTCAGTTGATTTTCCTGTCTTTTTTGTAGTATCATCTTTTAAAGTGCACCTCTCAGCTGTATCAACGGAAGAAATTCCTTGTTCTTTCTTCATTGAGTCATTTACTGAAGCTGCTCTAATATCACGCAATGAATGTGAACTATGGGAAGCATTTTCAGGCCTTGCAGAAGAAGGCACACTGGAAGGTGCTTTTGTGTCGTGAGACACAACCTGTATAATAATATAACTGACTGCACTCAATCAATCTGAATTATTTCTATACTGAAAAAATGCTGGCAGTAAATATTACCTTCCTATCAAGTTAGTAATTGAAAGAAACAAACATATATATTGCTATGCGCATATACCTCCATGTGTTGATTGACAATCGACTTTGGTGAGCTGTGGTTTCTTTGTGGAGACCTAGGTTGAGACCAAAAACAAGGAGAGCGCTCATGGGTAGGTAAAAAGGAACCATAGCCACCAAATTTTGCACCTGAAAAATATTATTCATATCTGATAACATCACTTCCTGGATGCAAAGACAGCTCTTTCATTTCGCAGAACAAGCTTCGACTTTTATTATTCCACTTACCCAAATTCTCAGCAGATACACCACCTTCAAAGTCCTTTTGAAAATGGCCAAGAACATGTTGAATCTTCTCATCCTTCAGGAAACAACTTATTAGTCCTAATATTTTCATGACAAATTTTACCAAAGGACTTTAAAAGCAAATGTTATAAATCAACAATAACCACTAGGAATATGAACCATGACCATAGAAGGCACCATAAAGATTAACAGGAATGCAAGAATTATCATCAATTCTATTATTTGAGTCATAGTTATTAACCTTCTCAAAGGACAAAATACACATACACATTAACATAGCACCATCAATCTAATAGGCATCTATAAGCATAACTTGCATCAATACCATTTTGCACAAGAACAAATGATCTGGCAAATAAATCTATTTCCTAGTAATTGATGATGGGTGTGGTGTTACTTGGTAAATAGTAAACTATGTTTTTCACTGACAATGGAGCAGAATATGCATCCACAACATCATTAGGCAACACAATATTCGTAATATTTCCTGGCATTTCTCGAGAATAGATAGATTCACTATGCTTGTCAGCACACAATAACCTCAAGACACTCGATTATGTTTCTGAATCAGTTCTTTAATGCTGAATTTCTATGCCATAGACAAACAATGTAGGTATTATTATAAAGCCCAACAGCCAATAGTGGTATCAGCTTGTATCATTTTGATTTAGTCCCTTCAGACAGACGAGAAATTCTATATAACTCTTCTATTCCACCCCACCCCACCCCACCCCACCCCACCCCCACAAGAACCAAATATATTGAAACACTGTTTTTGTTACAAATTTTCTTGATCATCCATCCAAACCATACACAAACCAAGCAAATTCAAAAGGGAAAGTTTGAAACTAGATTCAAGAAACTCCTTACAATGTAACAGAAGGAATCAGGGTCAATGCTGGCTTCATCGTCATCCTGATAATAGCATGCCTCTCCTTCCTCAAGTTCAGTATTCTCCTTCATCTCCACCACCCACCAACACTTTCTAGCCCTAGGCCTAACCCCAGAACCCAAAAAGCAATCTTTTCACATTGGAACCTTCTCTGAAGTCCAGCATCACTTCAATCAATCCCCCAAAACAAGAGTGACAGGAGAAAGAAAAAACCCAAACAATAAAAAATAAAAATAAAAAAAATTAACACCGACCCAACAAAGCAAACGCCAAAGCCTCAAAAACCCAGAAGGTAAAGGCTATTATTCGCAAAGTGATCATGCCATTGAAGAACCGTTCATTGATTTTGGAGCATATAAACCAGAATAAAAACCATTACTTGCATTTAAAAATTCAATTCTTGGCTTCAACCGCACAATCTGATGAATAAGAAGAGGCGGTGGAGATCGGCGAAACCGATCAGTGACTACTGGAATGAGTTTTGACGGCGAGTTCAAAACGGATTCCAAATCTTTCACTCTCTCCCAATATTTTTGATGTGTGCACACAATAGAGAGAAAAGCCTGGGCTTTGGTATCTCAATTTTAATTATTTATTTCAATCTAATTTCTTCAAAATATTTATTAATAATTTTGGATTTGCTCACTGGATAAAATAACCGTAGATGAAAATATCAATACACATATGTAATGAAAATATCAAAATATTTATTAATAATTTTATGATAATAATTAAGATATATTTATTAACTATTTATACATCATTGATGAAATCAACTTTTTCACTTTCTCAATTAAATAATTTTAAAATTTTATCTATTTTCTTATATATGTGAAAGATAAATTTTTTGTTAGTCACAAATGTATAAATATTTTTTGTGTACATAAAATAAGTTACTAACTACAATTTAATTCAAATATATTGAGAGTGTAAAATCTAGTCATACACAATTAATATTATTGATTATTATAATAAATAATTTAAAATTTATACTCATAATAATTTATAATTAATTAATAATATAATATTTAAATATTATTAAATTTTATAATAAATTATTTAAAAAATTTATTCAAAATAATTTATAATTTTGTACAATTTCGTATTATTTTCTACATTAGATAAAATCAAATATAATGATTTTTTTTTGAAGGGTCAAATATAATGATTTAAAACCCACTTTTAATTTTTTTTCAATTGTTGTTATTTTTAAGTTTTTAAGAATTATATTCCTAATAATATGACCGATTTTATAAAAAAAGTCAAGTAACATATGATCCAATTGAAGGTCGAAATGGTTATTTATACTATTTATATGTTTTTAATATTAAAAAAAAAAACTAGATTAAACCGTGAAAAATAGTTGCATGAATACATTGATAAAATTTGTATTAATAAAGTAATGTCTATTTTTTTTCAAAGAAAAAAACCATTTAAAATTATATTTTTTATTTCTTGTTATTTAATGAAATATAATCATGTGCTTTTAATTAATTTGATCTAAAACAAATATATGTTTTTTTTTTTACAATTACCAATAATAATAGAAATATATGACTTATTTAAAGTTTAGTCTTCTTTAATCTATTTAATAAAAATGTTATACTTAAAATTTTTTAAAAAATTCATTTATTTAAGAAGTTTGAGCTTAAACTAAAAAAAATATTTTAGGTCAATCTATATATATATATATATATAATATTATTAACAATATAACTAAATAAATAAAGTTGTAATATAAAAATTTTAGATTATCAATAATTTTTTAACACTTTTACTACACTTAAACGTTTTACATTTTTTGTTTGCACAAAATTAAGATATTAAAAATAAAAATTCTAATAATTGTATATTTGTCTACTTTTTTCATTCATCTTCATAGATAATTATTTAGAATATTCTGTATAAAATATTTAGAATTTTTTTAATAAAATTATGTTCTTCATTACAATCTATGTATAAGTGTATGTTAATGTACATGGGAATGCATTGTATCTCAATTAACTTTTTATTTTAAAATCTAAATTTTAACAATAATAGAGTAAAATATTTTTATCATGCAAATTAAAAGAATTATCATGCAAATCAAATAAAGACTTGCACATGTATTTAAAAATATAATTGTTGACTTATTTAAAATTTTAAAATCATTGAATTATTTAATGTTGTTAATGTCAAATAGATTTTTAAATAAATTAATTGTAAAATAGACTTTTAAATATGTTAATAGGTCACGTCAAACTTAAAAAACGTCATACCTATAAAAGTCTATGATGGATAATAGTGTAACACCCAGTTTTTTTAAAAGATGGCATTTTCGTAATTTAAAAAATTAATTAAATTTATTTAGTTTAATTTAGATCATCAATTTTAAAACAAACAAACATTCCTAATAATAAAGAAGAAAGAGTATTGAAATTAATGTTTCAACTTTTAAGACATTCTCATTCATGTTAACTTGTATAAAAATCATGGTATTGGTGAGAAAGTTGATATGCTCTACCTTTGCATGCCCAATCTTGATTAAGTTTTGCCTTTAGCTGATGAAACACAACCCTTTTTCCAAGCATCTTGACCATCAAGGAACCCTTCCAAGGTTTATACCATTAAACTATTCATCAATAATCAACACTTT